CCTGACTATTGCACTGGAGAACAGCACAGTTACTTTGAGGATGCCATAAAGGCCAAACTTCACTGACCAGAATGAGAACATTCCCCAGGGAGATGCCAAAGGATTTGGCCGAGTGTAATTTATACCGAGTACAACTCCCAAAGAAAGTTACAAGGGGAAAAAACCCAACTTTGTTAACCATTTCATGAATGCTGGATGAGTATTTCAGAAGATGCTTGGTTTTGTACTGAGGCAGGTAATGCCTGAATAAAGGTGGCAGAAAGAAATACTCACTTTGCCAAGTACACAGCACACACCCCACCTTGTTTCAGGCTTGGGTGTACAACAGGCAGAGCACACTGAGGGTTCAGCATATCCAGAACTACCTGCAAGAGAAAGACATATTAATGTTTCCTGGGAGAACAAATGTGCATCTACCAACATAACACAGGACAATGCTGGAGGGGAAAAAGGTTATGGAAAAGAGAAGCATACAGCAGCAGTGTGTAATCATCCACCAGTTTTATTACTGCCTCTCAAAACCTGAGGGGCACACTTAGACAAAATGAAGTCCTCTCTACTTCCAAATGAATTTCTATTAAAACAGCAAGTAGCATTTGACCAACTAAGGTCTGTAGGAAGTTATGCCTCCTAGTAATTGAATCTCATAATCCTGACAGTAATAAAAACTTTTAGAAGACTATATTTGCTAACACATTTAAATACCTATTTCTCACACGTGAAAAAAAGAGATTGTTCAAATGCATAAGAAAAACACATTATGGTCACAATGTCTAAATTGCTGTCAGTTTCAAGATTAAAAATACTTCTTGTCTTTGGCAATTTATCCATCTTCTGCTAGGAAGCTATTCAGACTGCAGAACAATGGGATATGCAATATCTGATCTTTCCTGCAGGACTGTTACTTAAAACATTTTTGAAAAGGTATCTTTATGCTATGTGTTATATTTCTTTGCTTGCACCATTTTAAAAATTGCTATTTGTTTAAAGCATTTAGTAAGCAGTTGTAAATACTTTGTCAACTTTACAGGGAAGAGTGCTTAACATCAAGCTATTTTCCCCAGCATGATTCCTTTTTAGGAAATCGGGATACAAAGAAGCAAGTCAGGAGAGCAAGCCATAGCATTCTCTAAATTATGGTTAGTTACATTGTGCATTCTATGTAGCTGATAGCAAAGTGGTCATATAGTTGCATATTTAATAAGGTTCTGTATTCTTCTGAAATTTAATGCTTGAAATATGTATCTCATAAAAATACCAGTTTCTCAAAAATACAAGAAAATGAGTTGGTATTTGCTTACAAGACAGCAGTAATTAATTGTAATATTTCTACAGTACAGCTTTATCACTCTTTAATTTGACAACCTGTAACTGAAACCTTGAAAACATTTGTATTTGACAAAAAAATTACAATGTTTCTTTCACTGATGAGGACCTGGATTGTTATTTCTCATGTTACACTAGATATGGGAATCCCGTGGTGAGTGGGAGCACTAGAGGTTTTCATTAATGGAAAAAAGACACGTGTTAAATGGGGGAATTGTTTGGATTCACTCACGGCATCAAGCGTTACAGATTTCAGATCTGCAGCAGCTGTTGAAATGTCTTTAAGAATGAACTCCACGTTATCTGGCCACTCGTCCACGTGTCCTATTTCCCATGCAGAACGCCAGTGCCTGTAATTCTTCTTAGCTAAATTATGATGATCCTCTCTGATTTCATAACTTAGAACACGTCCTTTGGGCCCAACTGAAAACAAACAGCAACACTCCACTCACCACTTGACACTGCTGTTATAAAGACTTGGGGAAAAAAACAAAACAAAAGCAAAAACCATAGTCTATAACATAAATACACCTTTCCATCTCCACTTAAGGAACTTATCACATATTAAACAATCAATGACAATCTATGTTTTCTCTACATTTAAAACAAAAATATGCAGAAAAAGTGTCGTGTTAGTTCTTTCACAGACAGAAATCCATCAATGCACAGATGAAACGAAGTGTAGTTATAGTAGTACAGACTGTTCCAAGATGTTCTCCTGAAGTCATTCATGCAGCAAAAGACAAGTTGAGCATCTGTGGCCACTGCTAGATCCCTCTGCTAGAGCAACCAGAGGTACCAGCTGAGAATGCTGCAGCAGTGCTCACAGGCTAAGGAAACCTGCTCACTGATCTCAGCCCCACAAAAAAGTTTTCCAGTGTACTATTTACCCAGGTTTGTGTAAGTTCCCTGTTACTGTCTGCAACAGCAATAAATTATTAAGTCTAAATTTACTATTCTGAAATCTACCATGACTGCAATGCACACTGTTTCTCATAAAGGAAGGATTTCCAGGATGTGCAGGCAGACAGCAGGGCATGCACTGCTGTATTATTCCGTATTTCTATTATTCCAATTCCTCAAGCCTATCCCACTGCTCACTTCTCTCTCCTTGCTACTTTGGAATGGGTGTAGGCAGCTTTCAGGAAGCAGCAGCTCCCCAGGTCAGTTCTGTGCCTTTCTAAGTCATTTCAGTTTGAAGTCACCAGGCTCATTCCCTCACCTACGTGATCCCACTGCGAATCCATTCAGATAACCAAGTAAAAGAAGGGATGGATTTCCCAACAGTTGTTCCTTGATCCAACTCACCCTGCATCAGACAAAGGCCAGAACCAGCTTGTAAGAAAAGGAAGGTTTCAGCATGTTGCCTTTGATCACCTGAAGCAGTTGTAGAGTCACAGTGCCAACTCCTTACTTTAGATTATCAGTTTAGAAACATCAGGAAAATAAAATTCTTCACACTGTGGGGGTCAGTTTTACTCCCACTCATTCAAAGTGATTTCTACTTTTTGAAACTGCTTTTTTAAAAATAAGAACAGCAAGGCAAAATAGCTAGGCAAAACTTTATTACTGTGATGCTACAGTATGTCAAGTTTGCATACATCATATTTTCCAGTTCTCAAAGATCTTAAAGTCATGGCAAATACCACTTTCTTAACTCTCCTGTTTCATGTCAGTAGTTTCTGGGAATGATTAAAAAAAGAATGGAAAGGAAAATATAAAAGGAAAAACAATTAAGGGATGAATGAAATCTGTTAAATCAATAATAATTTTGGAAATTAAATAATTCCATGGACATTGGTAAGGTGCCCACTAGATTTGAATTCCAGCATTTACCCACATACCAGCTGTTTTCCTTGTTGGGTAGCGCTGGTGTGTATTCAATGGTGGCAAAAGCAGCCACCATTAGGAACCAGCAAATCAAATCTATTTATTTCTGTGTCAGCACCAAAGTGTGTTCAGCTGTGACTAAAACTGGCTGTAATTGGTACCGATTTAAATTCAATAAATTTGAAAACAGCAATGCAATTTCATACCTTTTTCCCACTCCTCAAAATAGAGCTGATCTGGCACATAACAACTGCATTGTTCCCCTGGATAAGGTTAACAGCCTGGTAAGGTCAATGATTTTGCCAACTTGGCCCATTTACAGCTAAATTAAAGTTATTAGAAAAAAACTGTTGGACAAGATAGAAAACTGAGAGGAATAATTGGCAAGTTCAGGTGTGCTTGTATGAAATGGCCACAGTAGGCTGAATACCCAAGAAAAATCATCTGCTGTATTTAGCAAGAGCTAGGTTTTGCCTTAGCCAGTAGCAGGTATTCCATCTCTTTGGCTTCTGGGTATGCCTGTAGGGCAAGCTGGGGAAAACTAAGGACTCCTACTTTCCCTCTCTCTAAATGGAAAGAGAAGCGCTGACATTTCTCTTCTGTTTCATCAGCTTCTAGCTCCTACAGGAGCAATGTTTGCTTCGAGGATAATCTCATGCTAGCTTCAAAATCCCAATGGAACTAGAAAAACCCAAACATTAGTTTATTCCAGAAAGATGATCAGAAGAAACCAGCTGCAGTTGAGTGATCTCGAGGCATGGCTGAAAGTCAGCTTTCTGCAAGGCCTTCAGTAACCATTTACACCTCTAAGCACAGTCAGAATGGTTTGCAGTCCCTGTGCTGATCTAACTTTCCTTCAAGTCAACAAACTATACATGAACTGCAGCAAAGCTCTCATGAACTGAATAGTAAGGACCACAAGAACCGTAAGTATCTGGGCAAAAAAAACCCCCAAGTTGTGATAAGGAAATAAATAAATTTGTTTCTGTGTTGTCTAAAGCCAGGTTCTCACCTGCTCTCGACAGAAACAAGCTCATAGCACCAGACCCGCTGCCAGTTTCCAACACGGTGTCTCCCGGGTGGATATCCATCATCATTAACAGAGCACTTATATCCTGCGGGTGATAAAAACACGGCACGTTACTATTCGCGGGAAATCAAAGGTGAGATTCGGCCAGCGAGCCCCCAGCCACCAGCCGCTACCTTGGGGTAGGCGATGGTGGCTCCCCGCGGCATGAGCAGCACGTACTCGTCCAGCGAGGGCCGCCGCAGCAGCAGCCGCTTCCCGCTCGCCGTGCGCAGCACCTGCCCGGGCAGCTGCCCGATGATGTCGCGGTGGGGCAGGAGGCCGCCGGGGCTGCTCAGCACCGCCTCCGCCGCCAGCCGGCACAGCAGCTTCAGTGTCGAGTTGTGCTTCCTCCGCACCTCCGCCAGCGCCAGCTCCCCGGCGCGGAAAGGGCCGGAACGCGGAGCCGCCGCCTCACCCAGCGCTTGTCGGGGGGCAGCCACCGCCACCTCCTCCTTCTCCGGGGGAGCCTGAGGCGGCTGCGGCGCCGCCGCGCACCGCGCCACCGCCGCCGCTTCCTCGGGCGGCAGCAGCCGCCTCACCCGCTCCAGCGGTGACAGCGAAGTCTCCCATGCCCGCCTGCGAGGCTTCCCATCGGTAGGAAAAGAGGAAGAGGAGGATGAGGAGGAGGAAGAGGGGGCGGCCGCCCGCCGCAGCGCGCGCCAGGCCCTCATGGAGCGGCGGGAGGCGGCAAAAGGGGGCGCGGCCCACCTTCGCCGCCGTCGCCCCGCGCGCCTGCGCCGCACGCCCCGATGACGCCGCGCGGCGTCATCGGGGCGTGCGGCGCAGGCGCCGAGGGGAGCGCGCGCGCCATGGCGGCCCCTCCGTGCGCCTTCTCCCCCCGCGGGTGCCGCCTGTTCGCCTCGGCCGGGCCCGATGGGCGGCTGCGCGTGTGGGACACGGCCGGCAGCCGCCTGCAGCACGAGTACGTGCCCTCCGCCCACCTCAGCGCCGCCTGTACCTGCCTGGCCTGGGCCCCGGCGGGTGCGCGGCAGCCCCCCAGCAAGGTGCGTGAGGGGAGGGAGCGCGGAGGCTGCGGGGGGGGCACGCCTGAGGAGCGGGGTGGGGATGGCGGCGACCCGAGCAGCCCTGACGCGTGGCCGCGGCCCGCTCGGCTTCACCCCGCCCTCCCGGCGCCATGTGGCCGGGCGGGCCGGGGAGCGGGGGCGCGGCGAGCGGGGCGAGGGTCCCGAGAGCCCCGCGGGGTTCGGGCACCGTCCCGTGCCGTGTCCCTGTGGCCCCGGGGTTCGGGGGATGGCCACGTGTGGCGCGCCGTGGGGTGGGGGGGGGCTGGGGGAGCCGCTCCCCCTCCCAGGATTGCGCTGCTTACGGTGAATTTCACGTGTCGGTGGGGGAGGCGGCGCTGGAGGCTTAGTCTTGTGGGTTTTTAAAACAAAAATTCGGCAGAAGCACTGACTGTTGAAAACCATTTGTCTCTCATGTTATCTGCGCGGAAGAAGCCTTCCTTGAAGGAGCGAGGTATGTTAATTGATGGCACGTCTTGCCGTAATTGAAAAGGCGATGCTGCAGAGCAGGTCAGCTGCTGTGCACCCCCTTAGTTCCCTCTCCGCTAAAGGCAGTGTCTCTCCACGCTTCCTTACCCTTGGAAGTACTCCCGTGCGAGCTGCTACACTGTCTATGATTCATCTTCCTGAGTCCAGGAATCCTGCAAGAAGGTGTTCAGTAGTTTTATTCGCACCATGCATCAGGAGTGCTTGGATCTTCTCCACCTTGGATCAGGTTTTAGTTAGCATCACCTCAGGTGAACACTGAACCTGAAAATAGCTGGAGTATGTACTGGGGTACCTTTTGGTCTTTTTTATGTTGAAGTAGTTCTTTAGCTGGAATATACCATTTCCTGAGGAAAAAAGAATGCAAAACCTGCATAAAGTATGTGAAATCCGGCCCCTTTATCATAAGAAGTAAGGGGTGGGTTTTAAAGTGTGTTTTGGTATATCAGCAATTCAACATATTTGAAATGCTGTCCAGGCTGTTTCAAAATGCTTAAAACACAGATTATCAACCCAAAGGAGGGCAATATTGTTTTACTCAGTGGAACAGCTTAGTCCCTGAACTTTGAAAACTCCCAGGACATTCGAAGAATGAAGTGGAGAGAGTCAGTTTTAGGTGGCCTGAACCTGTTCCTTTTTCATGGAACTTTCAAGTAAAAATGATCCATTCATTAGTTGCAAAGCTGTATAGGTTCATTGCTCTTAGGTTCCCTGAAACTGGCATATGAAAATGGGGTTAATCTGTCCTGTATGAAATAAAACTAAGCTAGATACAGTGCACTGCTGTGGTGCCATAAGTCAAGCACAGGAAGTATCTGAGGGGCTTTTAAAACTTTTTTTTAAAATAACCTTTTCTAGAGACACACTCCTAAGCCCCACAGGTCTTTGAATTTAACCTGGTTTAAGGTTATATGAAAGCAACCTTAGCCACCTCTCAGTGCTTTCTAGCTATTCCAGGAGTTTGAATCCTGTCCCCTGCTTGAAAGCTAGTCCATTTTAAAGTGGAGCTGGGAAACATACTGTTTCTTACAATAGTTGTGCCATAAAACCTTTAAAAGTCATTGGTTTTTTTTCATTAGACTGAGTTGTAGAACTACAACTGGGATAGTTATGCCAAAAACATTTTATTAAATGAGTGTTTTCTGGCGTTATTTAGTCTTTTGTTCCTGGAGAGTTGACATCTGTCTGGGCAGTTCTAGTTTCAGGTGGTCAGGGGTAGAGCTCTGCCAGTAGGTAGCTATAAATGGTGTTTGGCTGAATTACACTTAAACTCAGTGTGTTTTGGACTGCTGCCATGTTAGTGGAGGCCATGTGTTGCAGGGGAATATTAGAACTCACGTTTTGAACTGCAGGCTCTGGAATTGCTGATGCAGGGGTGGCTTTACTGGGATGCTCCCTGCCCACGTGCTTCCAGTGTCAATGCTTCCTGTGTGCAGCGTTCATCACCTCCTGCTCCGTGGGGTGTCTTGTGCAGAAGTGCACCTCCAACACCTTCTTCCACTTCTTCCTAACAAGCTGCAACTGCTCTGTCACTGTCAAGTGTCAAGACCTTTAGATTTCTCCCCATTTCAGTGTTCTCTAAGTGCTTTATTTCACACGTGAGCATCAGATTTCTGTTTAGAAAGTAACAGTGGCTTATCAAGTCAAGGAAGAACATTATTGAAAAATGTGTGCAGAGTTTCTTTTCAAGTAACTTCTTTTAACCATCTCCACTAATTAAAACATTGTGCTTTTTCAGGCAAAGTTTAAGGATTTCTAAATAAACTTGAGTTTCCATAAATCTGAAAAAGAAATCAGATTACAAGGAAGCTGAGATTTGTCCTGTCCATAACAACAGGGAGCTCTTCTATTTAAGACCCTGATCCACAAGTGACTCTCACATGGATGTTAAGTGCAATTGTCATTTGCTCTGTGTACTAATTTAATGTAGGGCGGGGAAGTTTGATTTTTTTTTTTAAGTCCTTAAAGTTTTTTTTTCAAATCATATCAAACATTAACAGGTGTCTGAATTTTCCACTGGCATTTCTTCATGCAGAACTTTCTGACAAAGTGCTCCCCTCATACTGCTGATAAGGGGTGGTCAGTAAAGAAATTCATGTGGAAAACAAAACTGGAGAAACCTTCACTGCCCCTTTGCTTTCTCCTGACCCTGGAAATAACTGTACTTGTGGAATTCTTTTGTGCCTTTGAATTGTTCCAAGGAAATTTGCTATAGCAAACTGAATGGAGGTTGAAAAAAAAATATTTGAAAGATTTATTCAGGGGAAGAGAATAAAGTCTGTTATTAAGTTTGGTTTTGCTTTGCAGCAGGGGTGTGTGGGGTAATTGGTAGAACTACTCAAAATGATCGAAAAGTACCAGAAAACACAGGAGTTGTACTTGCATCTCGGCTCTGTGGCCTTTGTCTTTGCATGTCAGACTGCAGTTTCAATTAATTGCCATTAGTTTCTCAGCATCTGTTTTTTTAATATTTTATAAATACATTTCTTTAAGAAGATAAAGCCTAAACAAATACTTGCAAAACCCCCTAGTTGTAATCTCTTTTCTTAATAGTCTGCTTTTGATGTGAAAGTTATCTTTACAGGAATTTTGTATTTTTTGGCCTAAACCAAAACACTTTTCTTTGCAGAAGGTGTTAGATCTGTTAAGTACAGAAGGAATAGAAGATCCTTCTTCAAAGAACCAAAATATTTATCCTTCACTATCAAACTTTAATATCTTACTTGTGGTGAAAATTACCGCACCCTGATTGTCATATTTCTGGACCTGAGTAGAAATTGTCTTCACTGTGTCATGTCTGTTGTAAAACAGATTAGCTACACCACATGGAACTTGAACAGAGCTGGTTGCTCACATTTTATCGGTCTCCTTGGGCTTCTTCAGGCTGCTTGTCAGTGAGGATAGCTCTGTTGTGTAGAGGAAGCATTAGCATGTGTGTAATTTTTAAATTGGAGAGAATGCTTTGCTGTGATGTAACAAATATAAGGAGACTTACCAAGTCCAATGAAAAAACTAATCATTAGTGATTTTTTTTTCTTTTCATATCCTTGAACAGTTTTTAAATTTTCTTTTATTTGTGTATGCAATTAGTAATTAATGCAGTGAATATGATGACTTCTTCTGCCCTCTTTATTTTAGTTTCACGTGCTTAAGAACCAGTTTTATTCCTTCTTCCCTTCCCAGTGATCTGCATTCTCAAATTTTTGGTTAAGAGAGACAAAGTGAAATCCCTCCTTGAGGTGGCTGGTAGCGCTTGCAGGGCAAGAGTGTGAAGAGTTATGAATTGCCTGATCATCTGAGGACCTCTGGTGCAGACAACAGGACTTGGGCAGAGCACTTTCCTTTGAATCCCAGTCACTGCCCTCTGTGGAATGGGGTAGCACTTTATTTTTAAGAGCATTATGAATGCTTCAGATTTGCAAGACTCTTTTCATTACCTTTTGAGAAAAAATAAATTGATCGTGATCAAGCGTTTCCATTTTATGGATGAAGTATTCTGAATGTGTTAATTTTTACTTCTGCCTCTGGGACAGGAAATTTGTAAAAAACTTAAATGTGTTTTTTTTTCCCACGTGCATATGGTTGGGGTGGTAGCAAAATGGCTTATACCAGGTGTTTTCAAGTGACTCATAGCAAGTTTGTTACCCTTTTTCATGGAGGTACAAGATCAGTTTCTAGGATTGTGTGCACTTCAGTGTTCATTTTCTGTCTTAGTGGTTGTGCTGGCTGTCTGGATGTCAAACTTCTCTTAAGGTTTCTCTTTTCTCTGCTTTAACACTGAGATTAGCCACTCAGACTGATCTATTTCACAGTTTCTCTCTTTTGGTTTTTCAGGATGGCCCTCAGAGGAAAAAACGGAAGTCTGAAGTTGGAGAAGTGGACAAGCAGTTAGATATCCTGGCTATTGGTACAGCAGTTGGTAGCATTTTGTTGTACAGCACAGTAAAAGGAGAATTACAGAGCAAGCTAGTAAGTAATGCACTCTTCATCACATGCTGCCAAACACTGATGGTTTCAGTCAGTTTAGGCCAAAAAACCTTGGTTTCTAAGTTAGTGCAGTATCTTAACACTGTCCATGGATTTGCTGCTTTCCATTAAAAATAACAGTAATGATGAAATTCCTCACAGGAGAGTTAAATCCTTGGTGGGACTGTCGTACCCTCAGTTCCTGCATGGCATTGTGGGAGGGAAGGGCAGAGGACTCATCAGTGCTTGGGAAGGTGTCACACTGGTGGACTCTTCTGTAAATTTACCTCCCTTATGTGCCAGGGTGTATCAGTTGTTGGTTTCTCTGGTTCTGGATTGAAGGCTCTTAAGACAGTAGTTCATGTTCAGTTTCAGGTGTTTATTATTTCTTACCAGTGAAACACTCTCCCATGAGTTCAGCAGCTTTTCATTAGAAGGCACAAAATGGCCAACAATCTCTTGTTACAAGGTCTTTTAAGACTAAACTGTCCAATTAAGAACTGACACCTAGATTATTTTCCCTTTCAACCCAATAACTGATCCCTGGAAGCCGACAATGCGGACTTTTCTGCCCAATTACAAAATGCCACCCAAACCCATGATGAGGAAGGAAAAAGAAGCATGAAGAACAAACCCAGGACGACACCCTGTGCCTTCCATCTTGCTTCCATCCACAACATACTAAAAATCCCCAAACTTAAATTTCTCACCAAGTGATACACCTGCACTGCTCTCTATAAACTATTTCACACTTTTGTGGATTCTGGTCTGTATGAAGTCTAGGAAACTTTCTCCATGAATGAGGGTCAAAGTCAGTTCTGCCCTGAGGGTCAGGGCACCCCAGAGCAGACAGAGAAATATTCCCAGTAGTCTGGTTTTCCACACTTATGGAAGCTCTTGAGCTCTCTCAGCACATGATCTTTTTTGAATAATACGCAGTAACATTAATTTTGCCTTTCCAAACTCCCAAGCACCTCTATTTTAGTTGTGGGTTACATAACAAGCAAAATAAATCCATATGAATGGCTGTGTGATACTTTTGAGATAATTGGGTATACTTTTGCTTCTAAACTCAAAGTTGTAGGTAGGGTGATAAACATACATGAATTTAGAGAAAGCAGTAATTTCTGAGAATTATGATGCATGCAAGTGACAGTAACTAATGAGTATCATCTTCATTATATGGAAAAACTATGTTTGAAAAGTGTAGCTGTAGTTTGTTTGAAAACACTCCTTTTCCATAGAAGACAGCAGGTTTTATGAGTACTTTGCTTTTTACATATAGGTTGAATGAAAAGATTATTCCTGTTAAAATAAGAGATGTTACTTTTAGTTCTCTTTACTGAACAGGATACTTTGCTGCAGTGTGGTTTGTCTTGCTCAAAGCCCATTTGCATCAATACCTTTGGGAGCAATCTGAGCAGGTTGTTACAATCCAAATAGTGAAATGGACTCCCATTAAATATTTTCATAAATAATTCAAGGTTATATTTGGAGCTGCAGCAGAGATTTTGGTTGTTAAGAGTAGTGATACTGCTTAAGGGGTCTTCTGGTCTGATGATAGTGTGCTCCTGATTGCTAATACAAAGGGAAGGTTTCTCACCTCTGAGTGCCCTTAAGGAAGGAGGCATATAGATGACTTCAGCAAGACACCTGTGGCTATTCTTTCCTTTGAGCAGATTTCATACAGTTAGCCTTGTCTCGCTGTGTGTATAAAAACAGCAGGCAAGACAGTTTTTGGTTCCAGTCTTGGCTCCAGCATCAAAGCATCTGATGGTGTGTCCAGTGTCATCCATCGCTCAAGCGTTGTGGGAGCATTTTTTTTAGTGCTGCCCACCCTGGAGCAGTTTCTCACATTCTATGCAAATTAGCTACCATGTGCAGTTTGCTCTAGACCTTTCTGGAAATGGGCTGGAGGGCTGTGGGGGGGAGTCTTTGGTGTTCTTGATCTCCCCCCTGCTGGGGGTGCTTTTGTCAACAGTCCAGGCCCACTTCTGGAGTCTTTCCTGTGTTTGTGCTGTGCTGATCAGGAGCCAGAGCAAGGCTGGACCAGGAAAGTGCTGCCCTACCTCTGCATGGCCCCCTCCTCCAGGCACGCCCTGTTCTTTCCTACAGAGTGATCTTACCAACAGTCCTTTGTTGGTTCCCTGGCTGTCTGTCAGTGTTTGGGACATACACATTGGACTGTCTTCTGGGCTTCTACATGGCCCTGCACAGGACAGCCCCGGGAGTCACCGCGTGTGCCTGAGGGTCCAGATGCTTCTTGAGCTCTGGCAGGCATGGGGCTGTGACCACTTCCTTGAGGAGCCTGTGCCCTGTGGGTGAAGAACTTTTTCATAATATCCACCCTAACTCCCCCCTCCCAACACAGCTTCTTGCCATTCCCTTTGGTTCTGTCACTGTCCACCAGAGAGGAGATCAGTGCCCGCCCTTGTGTTTCCTTGTGTGAGGAAACTATAGACAACATCTCTTCCCTAGGCTGTATAAGCCAAGCCAAAATACTTATGTGTATGTACCAAAATGTGAAATATCTTTAATTTATATAACTGTCATGTATGTTCTTTGAAACCATACACACTCTTTAAGGTGCCAATGATTGGAATTTAGATCTCAAAAGAGAACCTTGTTCACATTGTTGGTGTGGGAAAGACTCAGTTGTCAAGACTACTCCAGTGAGTTGACCCTGTGTTACCTTTTGTAGGATGGTGGTCATGACAGTAGAGTAAACTGTGTGAGATGGCATCAAGACAGCTCCTGCTTGTATAGCTGTTCAGATGACAAACACATTGTGGAATGGAACACACAGACCTGCAAAGTAAAGTGGTGAGTAGTTCTGCTTTTCACTTGAATTTTTTTACACTTGCTTTTGTGTGTTTTCTCCCTTGCAGGTTTTGGAAATGCTGCACTCTGCTTTCCAGGCTTCATGCCCACAAAGTGACTGTTGGCTGTTATTTTTCTGAAATCAGGAGTGGTTTTATTAGGGAATGAAAGCATAGTTGTCATAGGCATCTTCCTCTGTGTATTGGAAAAGCTAGATGAAACTGTTCTGAAAGGGGTTTGGATCCCTCTGTGCTAACTTTTAGTGAGACTGAAAGACTGAAAGTCCTACTAAATGCTGAAAAATCTAAATTCTAGAAAAAAAATCCTTGAGTAGATACTGGAAGATCTCATTCCAGTAGAACCTGCTGCATGCACCCAGCTTTGCTCAAAGGGCCTTGCTGTGATGATAACCCACTTGGTTTCGCTTGCTGCTGATGTGCAGTGGGGACACTTCCACTTGGCTGTCTGAGCAGGCTGCTACTGTTAAAAGTACTGTTGAGCAAAATTGAGCTTAGTGCAGAGTAACAAAATGTCTGATGTAGGGAATTATTTTCTTCTGTATAAAGTCAAATTGTTCTTAAACTTTAAAGAAAAACCAAGATTTCTATTAACAATCCTGGTTACCTTTCTTCAGTAAAAGCCTACTGTTGGCCCATTGATCTTTCTCTTGATATTGTTTCTGTTTTTGTGATGTTGCCCACTGTTGGTTATTACTGCAGTGCTCCTGGTTTTATTAAGGTTGGCATGGGCACTGCAGGCAACCCATCATCAGTAGCCTCTTTGGTATCCCTAGAAAAGAGATGCATCCTTAGGTTGTATTATGTTGAGACCCTATGTAAAGTAGCAGAAGATGGCTGTAAAATCTACCTCTAGCCTTCTCTATCAGAATTGCACTCACCCAGTTCCCTCACCTTTCCCTCTTCCATTCTGTGCTCTAGTCCCTGAGGTGCCTCCGTGGCCCTCCGCTGGATTTACTCCGCCATGTCAGTGGCTTTGTTGTCCTGTCCCCCTGAACGCAGTGCTCAGGTGCAGTTTCAAGAGTTGCACATATTAGAGGAGTCCCATTCCTTGATCTGCTGACAGCACTCTGGCTAATGCAGATCCTACAGATCATACACAGCTGAGCTCATTGCCACAAGGACTCCCTGCTTGCTCCTGTTCAGCTTTACTGTGAGGACTGCAAGTCTCTTTTCTTCAAAGCTACTTTCTAGCTATTTGTCCCCAGCCTGCAGGACTTTACATTTTCCTCTTCACGTCTGAGATTCTGACAGCCTGTGTCAGAATCTCAGCCTGAGCTTCTCAGGCCTGCTGAGATGCCCCTGAGTAGCAGCCCTGTCCTCCAGGATATCAACTGCTCTCCCTAATTTGGGATTGAGTGTGAAGTTGTTAGGTGTGCATTCTGTCCTGTTCTGAGATCATTAATGGAGACCGGGGCAGTTATGGAGGAATATTAAGCAGTATTGGGATGTCCTTAGAGGGAGTAACACGAGTGACTGGCCACCAGCTGGACTTCATACCAGTGATCACAACTGTTTGAACTCAGTGATGCAGCCTGATCCTGCTCTCCTTACAGACCATCCATTCAGGCTATATATCTCCAATTTGGCTGCAAGGATATGTGAGACCTTGACTTCAGCAATGCTTTTGACAACTTAAATGGGTCTCTCCTCATCAACCAAGGTTATTGTCTCATTAAGGCAATCAGGTTGGTTAGACACCATTTGCCATTTGTAATTCTATGCTGGATGTGCCCAGAAACTTTTTTTGACCTCTCAGTGCCTGGAAATAGTTTCCAGGTGGATTTGTTATATAACCTTCCCTCTTATTTCCTGGATTATTCTGTGCATTTATGTTCTTTCCGTGTTTGAAAGGAATGTTCTATGCATTTGTGCTACACTTTTCTGTGGAGAAACTCCTCTTCTTTTTGCCTTCCTGGCATGTCCTTGCTGAAGTGCCTTCCTAAAGGTCCTTGTCTTGCAAGGCATCCCACTGTTGTTCTGTGAATCCAGTGAGATCAAAGCTCTGAAGCTGCCCATGGACATGTCATTCACCCTGTTTGTATCCCACAGTGTGTGTGTTCATGTACAGGTACTGGAGATGGGTCCCAGCCATGCTGCTTTCTCAGGAAAAGTGAGAGTTTTTGCTGTCATACCTGTTGGATATTTCCCTCTGCCCTGTCCCATACCAGGGACCATGGAGTGGGGGGACTGTGGTTATGAAATGTAATTTGAAGCATTGTGTTATTTAATTTTAAAGATGTCAACAGAAAATCATTCCCAGAGTGTATAGATAGAAAGTACGTAAGCAATATAACATGGTTTTTACCTGAAAAATTTTCTGTGTTAATGTTACAAGTCATACCATAGGTAATTCAATTTGGAAAGAGTAGAAGAAATCAGTTCTCCTAAAGTTTTGCCTACCAGAAGGCACAAATTATCCACATCAATTGCTCACACCCAGCATACCCATGACAGTGCCTGCATTCCTTAACACCTGTCAGGACCCAGAAATTAATATTTGTGTAACCCACAGAGAAGTCAAGATGGTTGCTCCTGGGGTAGAGAAGTGGTTTTAATTTGATTTGCAGGCTTCTAGACATGTTTCTATAGAGGTATGGACTGCTAGAAAGGGAATTGAAACCACGTGGCTTTAGGTTTGACTTTCTTAACTACTGTAGGAGTACTCCATAGGGCCACTTCAGGAGGTGTGTGCAGCACACATGAAACCTCTGGCAGAGGGACAAGCTGTTGGGGAAGAGAGAGTCGCTGAAGAGGCAAGACAAGGTGTTCTAGAGAGGTAGACTGAAACATTCTGGACGACTTCTTGTCACTCTGTAGCTTTTTCATGTCTTAAATACTCTTGACTACTTAGAGGCATTCTGGACATGTCCTTTTTGAGATCCTGTTTAAAACTCTTTCCTGTAAAAATTATATAAAGAGTATCCAAAGTGAAAACCAAGGTATTTTTGCTGTACTTTATATTCTGAAGTCTAGTTTAGACTCATCTTTTTAGTACATTTAAATATACCTTCTTGGTTTATGTTAATAAATGGTTTAAATTCTTAAGTCATGATCTTGTCTTCAGAAGAGAATGCATAATCTTATCATACTCTCTGTAAGTGCAATCTTGTCCACATTTGTGGGCTGTAAAATTTTCAGCTTCTATCAAAAGTGATACATTAAATGATTCCTGTTTTAGAAAACAGAAGAGGTGTTGCTTGGGCATGTGAAAGTTACTTAGAAATACTTCCAGGAAGGCTGTTTACAGTCAAAATGTGGTGTGTTGCAGGCTTCTTCCTATCTGTAAAGGATTTGTGTTAATGCTTTCCTTGCAGTTTTGTCCTGTGAGAAACATGTAGTATCAATATTTCTTTAAAGCACATTCAGGCTTTTCAAGACAGCATTTTTATTTTTATTTATTTATTTATTTATTTATTTATTTTTAAATTTTTTATTTTTATTTTTAAGTAGTGCTTTGAACCATGGACCATTAAGCTAAAGTTTATTATTGTCAGTGACTTGGGAGACTTGGGAGGAGGGACAGTAACTGAATAGGCTTTCAAACTCTGGATCTTAGGGTTGAGAATACTTTTTTGAACGGGTTGGTGAATAGAGAAGTCTTGAAAATGGTATGGCTCTTCTTGCCTAATTTCAGAAGTAGAAAAAGTTGAGAGGAATTCAGAACAGAATAAGCAAGTATTTAAAAAGAAGTCAACAGTTCAGTATTGAACAATTTCGTGTTTTTGAGTTGTGGTTTTTTTTGTAAACTAATTTGAAGGCGAAGTGCAGAAGCAGAATAGCTTTGACTTCGTGACTACTTACATTACTGTTTTTTAAATTTTACCTTAAATTTTTCATCATGGTGGTTTTGAGATTATCCTAATGAATACTGTTTTTTCTATTTCTCCATCTTTCTCCTTTTGTACAAAAACTCCATCCAAATTCTAGTAAGTGGAAAGGCGACAATAGCAGTGTCACCTGTCTATGCATCAGTCCAGATGGAAAAATGCTGCTGTCAGCTGGTAGAACTATAAAACTGTGGGACTTGGAGACCAAAGAAGTCTACAGAGTAAGTACCTCTGTTAAATTAGATGCAAAAAAATGCCCTTCTTGATTGGTGACACTACCTCCCTAGTGTTTCCTGATCAGACATCTAAAACATTTCACTGTGTGTGAGGATACAGTTAGCAGTTTTGGGACTGCTGGACATTTTTGCTGTGATGGTACCTTAAACTGTGGTTTCCACTTGCTGAAAATTGAATAAGGACATTAAATTTTTGTTTCTGAGCATGCTGCCAGCATCCTCTCTCAAGGCTGTAGGAGAAAGATGGATGCTGTTCTTTTTAACTGGGTCCCTGTCTGATACCCTTCTGTCAGGAGAACTTTGTTCACCACCGTATCAGTTACTGCTGGCATGGGTTTTAACATGAGTCCCTCCACAAAGCCTTCAAGTTTCCTTGCTAAACTTCATGTAACTGATGGCATTATCAGTTTTGCTGTTGAAACAGTTGGAAGGCATAGGAGCAACTCCTTATTGTTCCCTGAGCAGGGCTCAGACATTGAGCAAATGGCCATGCTTTAGCTGATCCGTGAATGCTGCCGTGTTCTCTTGCCTGCTAGCAGACAGGACAGGGATAGTCTCTGAATCTCCTGTCAGGTGAGTGTGTACACATGTGCTGTTACTTTGGGCTTGCTGGCACATGGCAGCTACCATGTATGTCTGCATTCTATAGTGACCAAAATCACTATTTGCAAAAGTAGATTGAAGAACCAATTTTTGGGGGGCCATTGGGGGTGGTGTGTTGCTCAAATTTAGTGTCAGCACACGTGTTCATTGTTTAAGTTGAGAATGCAGTTGAATCTAATTGTATTGGAAAGGTTGAAGTGTAAAGCTGGGTGGCAGAGGGGAGTGCTTTGTGACAGTAACAGCAGCACAGGTGGATGTAATTTCTTCTGCATGGATTTAATCCCACTGAATTTGCCTTTGATTCCCCGTTTAAGTTTTAAAATGTTGATAAATATCTGGCAGGTCAGAAAAAGCTTCCTTGACATAGAAAAATGCAAGAAAACTGATCACTAGTAAAAACCACTGAGCTGTCCTTGTTGACTTTGTAACGCTTGAATTTTTCCTACTCTTTGTTAACTAATGTTTTGATTTTTGCCATATGACTGCTTATGACAATCATGGAAAGATCCTGTTTTTTCTCTTAGCATTTCACAGGCCATGCTACATCAGTGTCATCATTAATGTTTACCACAGTGAAACCTACAAATGACAGTAAACCCTTTGATGGAATTACAGGACTTTATTTCTTGTCTGGAGCTATACACGACCGATTATTGAGTGTGTGGTATGTAAGCCTTTCATAATTTGTGACTCATCAGTTTTGAGTATAGAGCCATCAAGTGATTGTGATTAAACAAGGTAAAGCAGAAGGGGCACTCTGGAAAAATGCAGTGATGATCTCTTTATTGGTGGTTTCGACTCACTGATTGTTGAGTGAAGACGAGATTTTCCTTGGCTGTGTCTGAGCATGCTTCCAGTTGCCATTTGTATCACTAGTGTATGCCAAAACATACTGTGTAATAAACTTCCTTGTTCTTTGCCCTTCTTGTAAGGATTATGCAAAGTTTTCTTGCTCAGTTTCTCTTAGGAGTTACTTTGCTCTTAGAAATTTGAATGTTTTGTAAGCTGAACACTGAAAGGTCAACGTGGTGCTTTTGCATGCAGGAGATACCACCACATTTACTAGTGATTTATAGGCTTTGTAATGCTGCAGAGAATGCTGTTTGTGCTGTGGTAAATAACGTGTGCTTTTTGTGTCTTCCAGGCAGATCAGGTCAGATAGGAAAGAAAAGAATGCTGTGATGTCTTTCACAGTAACAGATGAACCAACTTTTGTGGACCTGACTGTATCAGAAGTCAAAGAAGAGGTAGGAGCAATAGTTTGTAAACAAATATATTCAACAATTTTCACTTACCACATCAGTTTCCTTTTAAGGGTATAAAGAAAGAGGCTTGGTTTATTTTTGGGTTCTGTTATGCAGAGATGAGATCCAAATGCCAATTCATGGGTCCAAGAATATTTATTACAGGTGCATTTATAAAGCTGGTAGTTTGAAATCCTCCTTTTCAAAGCTGCTAAGTGCGAATTCGTTGGGTTTTTTCAGAAATTTTGTTCTTGATGGTGGAAATGTCAGTTGCTTCCTATTTAGAACAAGTTAGTAATTAAAATGGTTGTTAGAACTTGGCAGCAAAGAAAAACACAAAATAAATTATTTCTAAAAATCTGGTTTGGGTATGGTCCTGTTTATTTTCTGATTTCAAGTGTTTTTGGCAGTGTAACTGCATTGGAATTGACTAGCCTTGAATGAGTTAAAGTGGCAGTGTACATTTGCCAAGTCTCTCAGTTTTAACAGCACAAGTCTTTCAAAGTGGTTGCCTTTTGAAAAATGTGTGGATGTGAAACACATTCACAGACTGTTCCCATTATTATTTAAAACGTTTTTCTCCTGCTGCCTTTCAATTCCATTTCTCAGAGCAGTATTTCATGCTATATTTTTCTAATATTTCCAGTTCCCTCTTCCTGCATGTACTGGAGAGTATTCAGTAATGTACCCCTGTTGTTTAGTTTCCCAGAGGAGTCATCTCAGTTTCTTTCCTCTGAGCATATTCAGAGTCAGTACCTTTGCTGAGCTGTGCCTCTAGACATGTCTGCTACTGTGTAAACTGTTTAACTCAGTGTATATTACTAGTGATAAAGTACAGTTGTGAGTTATTGTATTAATCTTCTAACACTTGTATTGAATGTTCCTGAGTGATTACATCTTTGATCTTCTTTTCAGATTTAGTGTGATGTTCTTAAATACTGAAAAAGTTCAAATTGTAGCCATACAGATGTCTCTTGATGTCCTGAACTTGCAGGAGGGTTCTTCTTTGATCTAATGAAACTCTCTTACTGTGCCTTCTTTCAGCCTGTGAAGTTAGCAGTTGTGTGCAGAGATGGGCAGTTGCATTTATTTGAACATATCTTGAATGGGTAAGTTAGGATTCATCTGGATGGTCTCTTTGGGAAAGGTCTGGGGTTACTGCAAGGCAAAGCTCAGTTTTATTGTGCTGTTGCCTTTAAGCTCTTGTAAATGCTCGTGAACCAGGTTCCAGCTGCTTCTTTGTCTTGGGTTACTGGACACGTTTTTGAAGAACTTACTTGTTGGGGACTGTGTTGCACTTTGGTATTACGTGTGGCTTTAACCCAGATTTTGTGTGTCTGTGCCTCATCTTAGCCATCTACAAAAGGTGTAAAATGACTGAGTTTGCTGAGGACCTGCTAATGAAAGATGCTTAGATGTGCAAGCTATTGAAGTGTTCAAGCTAAACATCTTGAAATTTTTTTATTTCTTTTTTTTCCCCAGTTATTGCAAAAAGCCCTTAACATCAAACTGTACTGTTCAGATAGCAACACCTGGGAATGATGGGGACTCCACGCCGAAACCAGTCCCTATTCTAGCAGCTGCATTTTGCACAGACAAACAGTCTCTGCTGCTGGTGTATGGAAACGCCTTACAGCCCATCATAGAGAAAGTGGTATGTAAAACTTAACAGAGAGGGTTTGCATTCTGTAGTGTGGACTGCATGCTGCTTCCAGTTGGAGAAATTTTTGGGTTTAGTATTTTTATTTTTACTGTTTTGAAATTATATAATAATACAAAACATATTCCTTGCCCTTGTTCTGGGAGCTGTGACCGTTGCCCCAAGCTGTTTGGAAAGTCGGTTTGTATTCTTCCATTTTTTTCAGTTGGAGTACAGGTTGACGCCATTGCTTACTGTTTCTTGCCATTTCAGCTCTTGCTGAGTTAAGCCATTGAAATTGGTTTTAATACAGTTCCAGTTTACCTGTGTAAATGTCCTTGGAGAGTATAGAGATATGGTAACAAAAGGCAGATATGCAAAGGGGCTGGTATTCTGGAGTGAAAAAAATATTCATTCTAATTTATACCATTGGAATTTGTTCTCATCTTTCAGTAGCATAATGAAACACAGGTGTGAGTGTCAGAGATATTAACTGGTTTTGTTCCTGTCCTCCTAGTCTTTGAACACCAGTGAATCCCACATATGTTTGGTACGGGACATCCAGAAAGTGTTGTCACTTAAAACAGATGCTGCTGTAACAAAGGTGAGCTTTGCATGACATGTGGTTTTGTTGCTTCTCTTGTTTTACTTCAGAAACAAAGTAGGTAATATTCACTGCTCTCTTGAAATGAGATTGGATTCCTGGATGGACCTGTTCAGAGCTGCAGAGGTAGCTATAGATGTCCATAGCACTCAGGCAGCTGTGGGCAAAGAGAGCTTCATGGTTCCTGTGTGTCCTGGCATGTGCGAGAGCACACGGTGGCCCTCTTGTAACTCAGCAGATCTGCTTGAGAGACAGGGTTGGTTGGTGGGGTTTTTCTGCCTAAGATCAGTCCTTCTCTTGGAGTCTGTTGGTTTGTACAGCCTCTTTGACCCTGGTGGTTTGGGGTGAAGGTGGGATGACTTTGTTTGAGTCTAAATAAAATGTAGTGGACCCTTAACAGGCAAGTTTTTTTTGCTCTTTCTTGGTGTGGCCTTCATGTGTTCCTGCTCACAGGGACCTGGGAATATGAGTTTGGCCCTTACATGGCAGCAGTGTCCACTGAGGCCACTTAGTACTGTGTTCTCTGGGTGTTTAAAGACAGGCTGAGATCCCCTCGGTGTTTAGAGACAGGCTGGATTAAAGTTCTTAATCACTGTGCACATTCAAGACCTTGAACATTTGAAGTTCTTGGAATATCAGTGAAGTGAGCAGACAGCGCTGTTTTTCTGACCCTTCAGTTATCTACTGGATCTGGTGCTCCATCAGCCAGGCAGGGTTTTGTGCTGATTGCTCAGTCCTGGAGCCGGTGGGTAGCAGGGCTGAACTGCAGGACAGGTGCAGGGCCTCTGTGGCATGCAGTGATGATACCCATCTTGGTTTCGCTTCTTGCTGAATTCCAGTGAAGACGCATCTCTTGGCTGTCTGAGCATGCCGTGTGGGAAAAAGGTCAGTGATGAGTGTGGTGAGCTAAGGGAACAGTATTTTATCGCCACTGGTGTTCTGTGATAGTATTCTTGATGCAGAAAATCAACTTTTTGGAAATTGGAAGTTGCTTTGCTCTGTGTAGTAGATTATGCTTTTGTCTCTTCAAAAAAAAAAGGCCTGGATAGAAGTGCTGTGGTTTAAAGAAGTTCTGGAAGTAGCAGAAAATGCATTTTTGATATTCTGGAAGTGGCATACTGCCTTACATTTTCTGTGAGTCAGGGGAGCATTTGGTTGTTAAATATAAAATTCCATCTCCTTTGTGTTCATTGAAGATGGTACCTTAGCTTGTTTGGTATAAACTAAGGTGTCTCTTTTTGTCACCGTGGTCACAGCCTAATTCAGGCAACTGAGTTCTGTGTTTGAGCAATCCCTAGAAGAGAAGAGTTGGGATTGAAGGGAATAGTGACTACCTTTAGCTGTTACATTATGTTGCTTTTCTTGGTCAGTTATTGCATTCCAGTAGATGCTGAATTAATCTGTGCGTGGTTTTATGGAGCTGAATGTTAGCACAGGTGGTATCTATTGCCAGCAAAACATCCAAGTATTTTTTGTTTGATACAAACAGCTCTGTGAATGTTACAGCAAAAGCTTGTAAGAAAAGTGGTTCACAAGTAATTCCAAGGAGACCATTGCTTTAGTTAATTATGGAAACTAACTGTCTGTTTCTTGTGGTTATTAATTCTCTTAAATATGTTGAATTTGCCTAATATTTATGTCAAGAAAATGGGTTGTGTTGGCTCGTTTTACCATATGTGTGAGAGTCACAGAATAAAATCCATATTTTAAATGGGAAGAAAGCTCAAGATACTAGTAATTGATGCAAATGTGGTTCTCTGTCTGTACTAGGTAAAGACACCTGTTGTGAACTCGGACGCCAAAGTTCTAGTACCTGGCATTCCAGGACATAGTACAGGTGTCAAAACTCCAGCTTTGGGAAAGGAGAAAAAGAAAAACAAGAGGAAACCAGGAGAGACAGAGGTAAAAGGCTTCTTATTTCAAACTCAGCAAGACTGGAGAAACTAGAAAAATAAATTATCGTTACACCTTCTTTAGGTGAACTTGGATTTGCTTTGTTTGCTGTGGAAGAAAGATTAATGTTGCCATCTTTCTGTATGAAAGAGACTTCTCCCTGCTCAAAACATGTCTTTCATTCGAGCCCTCTGTGCCTTGCCTGTGGTTTTGCTGGGTTGTTACAGAACTTTGTCACACACTTGTTGCTGCCTATGCCAAGATAGATTAGTGCTTTTCAGCCAAAACTTCATCTGCTTTTGTTTTCCCATGCTATCTTCTGTCAGTGCATTTAAAAGAATACACAAAATTTGTGTTCTTCTCCAGCAGAACTAGTGAGGATGCTCTAAGTTAGGTACTTTGCTTTCAGGTCATATTTGTGAGAAACCACTCTGACACAGCACTGCCTTATTTCCCCTCTGCAGGAGAGCATCGAGGAGCGCCTTGGGGCATTGGATATTGATGTCAGCAAAGTCAAAACTCCTGGTGGCCTTCCCCAAACAGACAGCTTTGCTGTGCTGCTGGTTCAGGGCTTGGAAAGCAACGATGCAGAAATCTTAAATGTAAGTCTTGCAGGCTCAGTGTGTGCTGTTGAATCTGTTCACTGGGACTGGTGGGAAGCCTCCCTGAAAGCTGGGAAGGCTGAACAGTTCAAAACCTGCTGTTTCTCCCAGGTGCTTTGGCTGATTTGCTGCTCAAGGCAGTGCTATTATGAATTGGTGTTACTTTTCTGTTGTTACCTGCCTTGCTTTCTGAGTCAGTCCCTGACCTTTGAGGCACTTTGTTTATGATAAATCTGTTATGTCACAGTTCAGATGTTTTACAGGTGGTGCTACTTATGTAGCCATGTTCCCTTTAGCTTGGACTGGAGCATAATCTGTGCTTAGTCTCCTGATGGTACATTTTTCAAGCTGGTACTGTTTGAAAAATGAATTGCTGACAAGTTTCATTTGAAAAGCTTATATTTGCATTTGGACATAACAGTACTGGGGTGGGGAGCTGTTAAAAATTTGATGCTGAATAGAAATTTCTTGTCACAGATGCTGGTGAAAGGCATTTATTTATGGAAGTCAGAAAATATCAAGGGAGATTTTCATGTGCTTGTAATGCATAATTTTTAACATGGGGCAGGTGAACTAGAGGCAATGCTAGATTGTTTTAGATGGGTTTGAGTGCCTTTACTTTGTTAATTGTACCTGACTTGAAAAATGAAACTCCTTTACATAATAAGTCTTTTGCTCATTATCCTCAGCATACAAAAGTAGTGGAGTAGGAAGAGAGATACAGGCAGGAATTTTTGATTTTGCTGGCTGCCCATACACATATTAAAGCTGAATTATTGTCTGATAATATTTTTTTCATTTTAACAGAAAGTGCTTAACACAAGAAAAGAAAATATAGTAAAGAACACAGTAGCCAGAATGCCTATACATGCTGTCATTCCACTGCTGCATGAGGTAAGAGAGCCTGCACTTCTTGTACTGTCATACAAGCCACATGTGATTTGCCTTCTAGCTACTAAATCCAGGATATGTCTCTTTATTTTTGAAATTGGTTTGGTGCCGTAAGAGGACTGAAATATTTCTTAATTTATCCCTGATACTCTTTTTATCTTTTCTGGCTGAAGCTTAACCAAAGGACCAAGTGTCACTGTCAAAGCTTACTGTCAGAGCATTAGATCATGTATTACTATCTTAAATGATTATGTGGGAAAAGAAAGGGAAGAGATTAAGCAAAAGCTTGTTTAGTCCACAGCAAACAATCACCATTACATCTTCTTTTCAACTACTGACATAGACAATAGTTTGAAACATCAGAAAGTCCATTTTGCTGTACTTAAACTTTGAACATCACTTAGTAGTAATTTTAAAACGGGTTTGGCTTCTATCGCTGCTTATTCAATGATATTAAATAAACTCTTTATTTGAATAGAAATACTTTAATGATTAGCCTTGACTGGACATTACTTTTTTAAACCAAACATTGGTTAGTATCTCTTGTTATGTAAATAATGTTCTGTTGCATAATACAATGGTGCAATTTCTTTTTTAGTTTCTATTTTAATGTGCTGACCACAAATAAGATTAAATTTTTGTAATGGTAGTGATCTTAATTGAATTATGCAGATGGCCTGGTGCTGAATGTTTGGTCTTACAGCACCTCCTTAGGCTTATGTTAATGAGATGCTGTGTTTCTTCCCTGGGACCTTTGTCAGCCAATCTAAATGCAAGTGTTTAGCTCTATAATCTCAGTGGATGGTCAGACTTTTGTGTAACTGTCTTCTCCCAAGCTTGAGATTTGTTGTGTGAAATGGCCTGATACTTTAATCACTTGTTTCCCCAACTTGTCTGCCCTGTAACAACTGCTCTACTAAGCAGATGAGCAGAGATGAAAAGAGGTTTCCTCCTACTTATTCCTGCCAGGTTTAAGCTTCAGTGGATATTTCGCATGTTAAAAGTTCCAGCTTTCTTGTAATACCAAAACCCAGCTTCTGCAAGCTACCAGCCTGTGTAGCGGGTGGTAGAGCCAGCAGTGTAATTTTCTGGAGCCTGGCAGTGGTTAATCCTAGCAAACCTCAAATGCCTGGAGAACTTTCTGTCCCAGTATTGGGCTTGTCAAATGATCTCATGTTGGGGGTTTTAAACTCATCATGTTTGTTACTTGTTGCTGACTGGGTTTTTTTGTCCTTTTAGCTTACAAAGAGATTGCAAGGCAACCCATACAGGTAAGAGACAACTCAGCTACAGTTCAATTCACCTAAAACTTCTCACATCTGTGTGCTATGGTCCCTCCTACCATGTGTGTGATAGATTTTCATAGTAACTGCAATTAAACTGCAGCATCTGGAGGTAAAAACTCACCTCGTTGAAGGTGAAAAGAGGAATTTAAAGCAGTGCTTGGTCAGAGTGGCTGAAGTGAAATTAAAAAGGGAAAAGATATATACCTGAAATAAGCATGTAACCCTGAGAATGTAACTGAAGGCCCCAAATGTTTACATTATGGACCTGATCAATAAATAAAATAAGTCTCAGGTGTAGAGCTTGTTTAATTATCAAATGTATTTAGACATCTCTTAATGTGGTGTTTAGTAACATAACCAGCTTTCCACTCTCTGTCTTGTTATGTAGCCATAAGGACAGCTTTGTTGAGATGGGCTGTGCCGAGTTGTGGGGGTTAGGTTGGTTTGGGTTTGAGTTTATTTTTTCTAAATATAAATTCCCTCATTGTAGGTGGAGAAGAAAGTAGCATGCTTTGATCTTTTATTCATTGAGACCATCCATAAAAGATTTCAGAAGCACAGACCCCTGAGCTTCCCTAGTTTAGTCCCTCACTGAAATGTTTGTTCCTTTGCTAACAAATAACTTGCATACCTCATGAAGATAGCCAAACTTTACATTTCCATCTACAGAGAGCATTTATCTTGCTCTCTAATTAAAGAAGAACTTTATATAGAACTATTTAGCATCTAGGATGTGAAATGGGTGTCTCTCTGGCAGTATCTCTTGGATATAATTTATTTCTCTTTTCCAGTGCCTCACTAATGGTTCGATGGCTGAAGTCTGTTTTTACCCTACATGCATCCTACCTTTCCACAGTAAGTATTTTTCATTCGTGCCAATGCACTTAAGTAAAATTACATTTAAATGTTCAAATAAACGTATTTTCTTCAAGAATCTGTCTCCTGCTCTCTGCATATGGCAGTGCCCAAATCAATGCATAGAGAGCTATGCTTACACCACTTTTGCTGAACCTACTGTACATTGCTGATAAATTGTTTGTCTCAGTCATTCCTGACATAATTATAGCCATCCCAAAGCCAAACTAAGATAAGTTATGCCATACCTGTGAGAGGGAACAAAATTATTGCCAAAGAATAATCTAGCCCGTGTCTAGATCTTACAGAACTAAGTTTTCTTTGTTCTTGTAATGCTCTTATTGAGGCTGTCTTGGTCATGGCCAGATTTATAGAGTAAGGGTGTGCCAAAGCTCGTAGGGTAGGAGGTAATGCTGTAGCTTGTGGATTGAAGTCCAGCCTTGCCTTACAAGTGATGGATACAGCACTCTTGCTGGGTTAAGAAAAAGACCTTTGGGCAGTGTCAGTCCTTTCTGCCGTTTGTTATGGCTGAGCAGCAGAACTTGTACACGTTGCTGAGGCTGCATTTGGACACCGGTGTATGTTCACAGCTTTCCGAACGGTGCTTCGCCCCTGCGTGTGGCAGAGACTGGAAAGGAAAAGGAGGCTAAGAATTGCCGTGCTTTAAAAGTAGATGATGCTTCTAAACATGGCTAAGTGTTAATTGATCAGGCTGCAGGTGGTTCCTCAGCTCTCCCTTCTGTGTAGAATAATGTAAGCGAGTGTTGCTTGCTCCAAACATGCAAAAGTAGTTTAAAAAAACAAAAACATTTGGGATGTGTTTGTTAACAGCTTCATTTTTTTTTTTTTTTAATTTTTTTTTCTCCCTAGTTGCCAGACCTTATTCCTCAGCTGGGAATGTTATACCAGTTGATGGAGAGCAGAGTAAAAACTCTGCAAAAGCTTTCCCGTCTGCATGGAAGACTCTTCATTCTTGTCACCCAGGTGAGCTTCAACTACATAACATGGGATGTGCAGGGGTGTTGTTTGACTTCCTGTTGGGATTGCATCTGATGTGATGTGTCCTGGGCACTTCAATGCAGCTGCTGTTCAGGGATGCTGGTAACACTAAGAGCATTAATTGACTGTCCTGTCAGTCCCTGCTCACTGGGACTGTTTTGTCCTGTTAAATGTGTCTGCTCACCCACAGAATTTTAAAAAGGAGTAAATAGGAGGCACTGGGCCACTTTGGAGCAGATGTCTCTCTGATTTTACTTTGTCAGTTGTAATTTTTTGGCTGTTAAGTGAATTAATGCGTGCTACCCTTAATGTAGATTTCATTTACATTGTTAGGAGTTTTGTTGTCTTTTAAGGTTGAAATATATTATTTAATTTAAGGCTAACCTGCAAATTCCATTTAGGTTGCAGCATCACAAACAGTTCAGGATGTACCTGAGGTCAATCAGACTGCAAAGCTGGTCTATGAGGATGGTGAGTGTTGTATGCTAAATGTAGCTCATCTCTGGAATTCACATGAAGCCTACACTTGATGACTGTTCATCATGCACCCGTGCAGACTGCTGATAGAGGGGTTTTGTGAGATGTCCATGGCAGGAAAACCAGTGGCTAATGATGCAGACATCGCATAGTTAGTTACTTCTTCCTTGTCTTCCTTTTCTCTCCCTCCCAGCCTTCACAAATGAAGGAACCATTGAATTGGAAGTTCAGTATGCTTCTTTAATTTACCTGGTAACCTAAAATTTCTAGTGTTACCTGCCCTTGTGTTAAGGTAGCTACAGTGAATGCACTGCTGTGGTTGAGTCAGTAGGACATCAGTGTAGGGGATGTCCATGTGTGTGAGTGCATACTTCCAGTTTGGCTTTTTTCCTACTGTATCTTCACCTGTGTACTGGTAATGGAAGTGACCTGGTCTTAACCGATGTTGGTTACCTCATCTCCAGGTAGAATCAGTTTTGGTATGGAAATAGCACAGTTTGAAGACTTGGCAGCATGTGGGACTGGACTTTGTTTGTACAATGGCATTTTAAATCCTGTTCCCCAGACTGAGAGATTGCTTTCTTTTTGCAGACTCCTCAGAGGAGGAAGGCTCAGATGATGAGATGATTGCAGATAAAGACTCTGACGTAAGTGGAGTTGGACCAGATCTTCTCCCATTTGCTTGTAGCAGAAATGGTGTAACTGACAAAGGTTGAAACATTTCTGGTTTATTTTTCCCCCAGGAAAACTGGGATGAAGATGAAGAAAAAGAGGAGCAATCTGATGAACAAGACATGACTGTTGAAAAGGAAATCAATGGTGATTCTGATTTGGAACCAGAAAATGAAAGTGAAGAAGAGTAACAGCACAAAAGAGTAATTTTAGTGGTTTGAACAAGTGGGCCACCAAGCTCTTTGATTCTGGATCCTGTTGCTGAAAGATGCTGTATTTGCATATCAGGAGTGCAGAGCATTGCACAGCCTGTGTGCAGAGGCACCTGTGGGGCACTGCATTTCCGAATCCAGAATGTTTAACCGTGCCAGCCTTCTCTCGCCCTCCTCCTTCCCTGCGCTTACTTAGAGAAACATTTCCTCCACCTCCTGGTCAGATTATGCCTGTCATGTGGACATGCATTTGTATCTCAAGTGAAATAAATCTGCCACCTCTGTTTGTGTGGGAAACTTGGTTCAGCTTTACATTGAATTTGTTTCAAATATTCAAGGATCAAAGACAACTGGTCTATACCTTCTTTCCATGCTTCAGTTAGCAATAGCAAGTGGGCATCCTTCTGATTTTTTTTTTTTTTAAAAAGGAAACTGAAAAAAGAAAAAAAAAAAAGATATTTTTGTAATATTTAAATTCTGTCCTGAAATTCTTTTCTTCCCCCCTTTCATTGGCTTAGCCATACTTTGGCAATATGTAAATGCCAACTTGACTTAAAAATGGATCCTTCCTTTTTTTTAACAAATTTGAACTCAAGACTTTTATATGTATAAATCAATGACTTTTCTTGTGCTTTAAAAGGACATTAGAACTATCACTGGCTCCTAATTTTGTTTTAATGGAGGCTGTATATAAGTTTAATGCTAACCCAGAGGCCAGACCATGTTGAGTTGGGTGGGGAGAGGGCAGTGAGACAGGGAACGGAGAAGGTGAATGCTTGTGAATACATAGCACAGAGCTATACCTTTCTTACGGATTTTTAATCTCTCAGTGGCAGAACAAGGACAGCTATTTGCTCAGCTAACGGAAGCTGAAGTGGTGCAAACACGTTTTTAAGAGCAAAACAAGGTAAAGGTTTGAGCCATTCACCACTATAATGTACAATAATATATTTGTCTATAAATGGAGCTGTTGCAACTAAATACCACCCTCTTTGTAAAGTGAATAAATATACATCTCTTTTACCAAATACCTGTCCTGTGGTGTTTGTTGAGAGAGACCCTAGGTAGCTTCAGGTGGTGGTTAAAGACGAAATGCTGCTTGTAGAAAGCAGATTTCTAGTGGAGGAGGAAGGCAGCCTAAAAGGGTATGGTGTTCTGCAGAGCATCTGTTGTTACAGACTTGTTGTCTCCCTCCCTTTTAGTCACATCCATTGATTTGTCCGCAGCTTGGCTTGCACTGGGGTTGCAGCGCTGTCTGGAGTACAGGGCATTGTGTCATGGACAAAGCTGGAAGAGATGTCCTTGGGTTTGGAGAGCTGGAGGTAGAAGGGCAGCCGGTGGAAGCTTTCACAGTCTTCAGACGGTTTTAACTGACAGTAAACCAGTCTTACTACTGTACACAGCTGGGCTTTATTTGTTTTCAGTTCTGAGATGCTGTGAAAATAAGTGCTGACACATGTCCATTGTCTGTACTCGAGCCCCCAAAGGAGGCTGAGCTGACGTGTCAGTTTTTAAGGCAATCCTGCTGTCGCTGTGCGCAGGCAGGCTTTGGGTCAGGCAGAAGAGGGGTGTGAATGGAGGGGTGTTCCCTCTGGTTGAGTGCTGGTCTGCTGAGCTTTTGATGTGTGGAGTAATGCAAGGAGCCAGCTGTGTTTTGGTCCTGCATGGTCCTCTCTGTGTCTGCATCGCTCCCTTCCAGAAATGGAAGCAGAAACCCTGGATTGGGGTGACAGAGCAGAGTATCCTGTTGGCACTGTTTGAGTGTGGGGAATGGTGGCATCGGGAACTTGCTACCACTGCCCTTGTTACCTGTGAGGTTGGCATTGCCTGTGTCCATCGTGCCTGTGCACCAGAAACTATTCAGGAGTGAGACTGGGGGAGAACCTGGCAGCAGGAAGAGCAGGGGGATCTTAAGAGCATTTTGTTCATTCTTGGTTCTCACAGACATTTAGATTCTGTTAATCTGTTGCAGTGACAGCCAGCTGGTGGCAGGGGGTGAGTTCTGGTCTCTTGCTTTGGGGTTAGGACAGCCAGTTCACCCTGTCCTCAGCCCTCAGGCAGCTGCTCGGCGTGACACTGTGGCTGTGGCGGCTGCAAACAATCGGGCTCCTTGGTCAAAAAGTGCCCTCACCTGAGCTGCTAACTGACAATGCTGTGCACTTTCTAATCCTGAAAACTTTATCTGCAAACCCAAGGTCTCAGCCAGTCGAGGACTAAACTGTGTCCTTTGTCTGGAGACACTGGACATGGGATAGGTCCTCCCTTCTAATCTAATCCTGGTAGTCTGAGAGCAATGAAGAGAATGACTAGGACAGACCAGCTGCTCATTTGGAGCAGTGGCGGTTGGGTGAGAATTTGTGAGGAGTCCAGTGCAAACCTCTGCAGTTAAGCAGCCAGGAAATCAATAGGGTGGAAACCCTCAGGTGTAACTTTTGGTTTTATTTGCCCAGCTATTACTGTGTCTCATTTATAGGAATGTGTTTAATGTCTGTCCAGGCACCACTGCAGGGCCTCCGGGATTTTTGTTTCGTGCAGTGGACTTCCCAGTTAGAGGAGATCACTGACTGTGGTAAGGAGCAATACCAGAGGTGGCCAGCGGGTGCCAGACCAGATCCACAAAATTCTTTGCGTCACAGGAACAGCCTGTGACTCGCCTTTGAGGATGGCGTAAATGCACCGTGCTGTAAGGCGGGGTGGTTCACGTTCCTGCCTCTTGTTATGCTCCTGCTTCCAAAGGGACTTAGTACACCACCAGCTCTAGGGGTGAGAGTTGCCTCTCTTCCTAAGTATTTCAGTGTTCTTTCTGATTCTTGGAAGTTTCATAGGGGAATAGGAGCTGCCCGTGTGGGCTATGCACCTGTATCTGTTAAATGCTGTGCAGTGTCTGAGTTACAGATGGTTTGCTTTCAGCCTCCCTCTGTGCTATGGGAAGTGATTTATTTGTTTAAAAAAAAAAAAGAAAACAACAAAACAAACACATTTTTGGGTTCATCCTGTAAATGACTTTTGCTAATGGCTTCTCTGTCCCGAAACAAGTATCTCAATGACCTTGGTTAAGTATAAACAAACTAAAGTAAAATATTAGTTTTTTGTTGGAGAGGAGGAGGATGACATGGAAAGGGAGAAAATAAGGAAAGGTTTAGGATGCACAAGTAGTTCTTAGAGAATTCCTGATTCCTGGCAGTGGGCACAGTGAGAGACTGGCCTCTGCTGCCATGGCCATCCATCCATGGGGACAGCAGCTGCTGGGGCTTTCCCCATTCTGCCAACAGCAGTCTGCCTCCAGTATGTGGACTGCATGGCCATGATTTTGACAGAATGTGGAAAATGCATTGTTTGAATGTATTTTGATGTTGTCTGACATCACCTGACTGGAGCAGTTTGGTGGGCAGCACGCCCTGTGGGCAGGGCCATGGCAGGGATCAGTGGCTGGCACTGGCAGTGTTATTTTCCCAGGCAGGCTCGGCCTGCAGCTGTGGGGGAAGGCACCAGCAGCTGTATCAGCCCAGTGAGCAGCAGCAGATGGAGGAGACCCTCATCTGCAAGGAGCCCCTCACCCCCTTTGCTCCCCCATCCCATGGCAGTGCAAGAAGATTCCGCTGCAGGTGAAGGGCTGCAGCAGCCAGGAGACTCCTTCAGCCAGGACTTGTGGCAGTCTCCTTCCTGCAGCTGTGCCTGGAGGATGTTGGCCTGCAGAGGTGGTGCCCATGCCCAGGAAGGCTGCTCGGCTCAGGGGGCAGAGTGTGGACAAAAGCTGGATTCAAAGCACTGATCGCCAGGCCCCGGAGCCACTGGCAAGTGCAGCCGCTCTTCTTCATTCCCTGCAGGAGAGAGCCCAGCCTTGGAGGCTGTCCCTGGGGACAGGGAAACACTCTGAGGACAGTTTTGGATTTACAAGGACAGTCAAAATGAGAATTGTTTTGAGGCAGGTGTTGTAATGTTGGGTTTGGGTGTGGCTGCAGGAAAGCAAGCAGGAATAAATCCGTGGCACAAAGAAGGAGAACTTTGCATGGCCAATTTACCAGCCTTGGAGGCTGTCCCTGGGGACAGGGAAACACTCTGAGGATAGGTTTAAATTTTCAGGGACAGTCAAAATGAGAATTGTTTTGAGGCAGGTGTTGTAGTGTTGGGTTTGGGTGTGTCAGCAGGAAAGCAAGCAGGAATAAATCCGTGGCACAAAGAAGGAGAACTTTGCATGGCCAATTTACTCCCTACAGATACATGGATCATACCAGCCCACTGAACACTGGGGGCATCTGATGCAGAGTGCAAAGCTTCTTTGAATAGACAGGAGAGATGAGACTTGAACAAATAATTTTGCTGATGCAGAAAAAGGGATCAGACCCATTGGTCCTGTGGCTCAGGCTTAGTTCTTCCAAATCCTGGGCATGGCCCCTTTGGAATGATTCCTTCATTGCTGATATGCAGCTGGAATACTGAATGCAGTTGGAGAGAAGTATTGCTTAGTAATTTAAGTGACATTTTTTGTTGGATAAATTCTGGACTAGAAATGAGCAATACCATTAATACTTACTTGTCGCTCTTTTATTATTGACCTGACTCTTCTACAGGGGATAAAAATCCTGATTTAAGAAAGGTATTATTTTTTTTTACTGCTTGGCTGCCACATGGTTTTATCCTCTGTGAAGTCATGTAAAGAATGATTAGTTCTCTCAGTTCTAACAGCTCTGTTGGAAAGTATTTCAGAATAACCTGCCCTGTGATATTTCCATTAAGAAAATTTTGAATTGCCAGGAACTACCAAGATCAGAAATATCTTGAGGCAGATCATGTTTATGTTGGGTTTGGGTGTGTGTGCAATAATCAAAGCGGGGAATAAACCTGTGGAACAATAAAGTAGAGCAAAATTTGAACTTTTGTGTGTTCAGTTTGTTCCCCTCAGATACAGGCTCCCTGAATACTTGGGACATCTAATGGAGTGCAAAGCTTCTTTTACTTTTAACATGCAGTACTATTGTTCATGTCCCAGCACTCTCTTCGTTGTGAAGAAAAACAAACAAAATCCCAAAAGTGCAAAACCCAACCCAGAACTGGCGTGGTGAAGGTTGTGGTTGGCACGGCCACAGCGGCAGCAGACGCGTCTGGCTCTGCCTCTCTGTGCCGACCGCTGGCGACTGGAGTCACCCGGCCTTGTTCTGAGGCTGGGTACCAAGCTCCCGTCGCTGCAACTCTGAGAGTGATCCCAGATTCGAACCCAGATCGTTCTGCCAGGCAGAAGCACAAGTTCGAAGATGGACTTTACCGGAAAAGGAAAGACGACTGAAGGAAAGGGTGAGGATAGCAGGGAGCTGAAAGGCTGAAGCCAAATGGAAAAAAAATCCCCCCAGATTTCAGGGAAACCTGGTCCATGGGGGTCAGTGCTGGCTCTGTGTCAGAGTAGGTGGCTGACAGCTACAGATGA